AATAGAATCTATACCATGGGTTGTACCTTAGTTTAACTTGGTTTAAGTTCCATTGTTTTACCTTGACGACCAGCATAGCAACTAACAATAGTTAATTAAACAGAAGAGAGGTCACATTGGTTTTGAAGTTAACAATTGTTAGAATTGGCTGAACTATAGTTAAACGCCCCAGTGTGGCCACAGCCACTATGGAAGAGTCTAAGTTTACTGGTCATTTTATTCCCCATAMTTCATTGCGCTTTCTTAGGTAACTAGCTTGTTCTTTTGTAACAGTTGTAAACTGTGCAGAGCTAGTTTGTGTGTGTGTGTTTTTGTTGTTGTTTATTTTTTCGTGTTTTTCTGTTGTTGTTGTTGTTGTTGTTGTTTTTTTGTTGTTTTTTTGTTTTTACCTCTGTTTTAGTAGGAGCTATGGTTGTCACACAAAAAACCGGCATATTATTGTTTTTAAATATTCCCTTACATTTTTGATTTTATTTTCGTGTTATTTCAGAATTTTATCGTAAACATGGGAAGAAATTTGATCCAGGTCACGTACACGCCATTTAATTTAAGATGCAAGTCGTGATGACTCACCTCATCAATTTAACTATTCTCACCTTTGGCCTATCCTCTATAAATTTCGAACGGTGAAATTCTTCCTCAAACTAGGGTAGTGTGTGTCAATCTACCAGTTTGTCTGTTTGTCTGTTTGTTTGTTTTTTCAACTGAACACGGAACTGCCTGTGACAATTCCTGGAAAATTCACAAACCATCTTATTATTGACGTCAGTATGTAGTCATAAAGTATTTAAGTCGCCGGAAAGTTATGAATGAATACTGTATCATTGCTTTTAGATTATTTTTTGCACAATTTATGCTCTCAGCTTCGTGCCTTCCGGACTAGAGGCAGAATACCAGGAAACCACTGACGTTGGTAATACTAAGGGTGACATAACTTTCAGCAAGTTGAAGTAGACAAACCAAAAACCTTGGAAATTTTTTAAAATTCTATTGTTTTGAGTCGTGATGTTCTGAGGCCGGAATGATATTATCGAAAACAATACTCAAAGTAAACTTTAGTTTACTTATAGCCAGTGGTTAACCGAACCTGTGGCCCTCGTCCCATGTTAGAATCAGAATCTAGACAAGAAAAACCAGAGAATAGAGAGTTTTACTATTGACTTTTTTTTCTCCCCGCAAACGGCAAACGTGACCACGTTTTCATAGTTTTCGTGTCTTTTACTTAACTATTTACAAATTTTCTCACCAAGCGCAAATACTCTTTGGTTTTTCTACAACTTGGAAATTTTTGCGATTCTTTTTCAGTAATTTAAAAGTATTTTTTACTGGTCAACTGACGTTTCACGTTTGCCGTGAACGTAAATCTAAAACTCTCTAAAAACTCGTTTCAACGCTGCACCGCTGTGGCCCTCGTCCCATGTTAGAATCAGAATCTAGACAAGAAAACCTGAGAAAAACTTGTTTCCACTCTGCACCCTTGAATTAGCTGGAAAAAATAAGCAGTTATACTGATGGCGAGTCTTGGGATAACAATTCAAGCGATAAAAATGCGCGTTTTAATTCATAGGAATTTTGCATGATTTGCATGAGGCGCGCGCGATTATCATAAATTTTGCGTAGGAGGAAAATACAGTATCAATTGTTCTAAAACAATGTAAAGTTTACATTGGATTGGCCGATCACCCTACTCAACAGAAAGAGCCAATCAAGTACCAGAAGCAATGTCATCACTCATTGGACATCTTTGATTGACAGCCGGATGTTGGAATTTTGTATAAGTATCGTTGCTCCGTGAGCAAACTTCCTCTGACTACAGTTCGAACATGAAAGGGTTTCTAATTTTTGTGCTCTTTGGAGCGCAAGTCTTTGGGATATCAGGTAAGGAAGATATCTTTATACGCTATGTTTAATAAGGTAGTTTGATTATTCTATTTGGATGCTTTTAGCTCGTTAACTATTGCATTAAGTTGTTGAATATTTAAGTAATGGTTTTAGGTAAACGACTCATGCTAGTTCTGGTTTTCAGATCCTAATAGTTTTCGATAAAATATTTTCTGTAAAACTTTTACAAAAGCAGCTGAGTAAAATTACTTTCAAAGTAGCTGTAACAATATCTTTAATCAGTACGGGCGTTTTGGAAACGCAGGCCAAGGTTATCTTGTCTATTTATACACAAACTTCACACGACATGAAAAATATATTTAACTTGAAGTTCCATAGTGTGATAAAATAGTCTCAGTATTGTTACGAGCGAATTCTTTAGGGAAATTCTATTGAAATAAGTGGTAATTGTTCGTTTTAATCGAGTAGTTGTTTACGCATTGTTCAGTTAATTCTTGGCCGCCTTCACCGACCTTTTATCCGTCAGATTTATAAATCACCAGCCGTCTTAACCTACTTGTATCGTATTACGTTTTTTTTACCAGACAAATAAACGTTCTACTTAACTCGCCCTATAAAGAACAGAAAATTTCATTTCGCAATAAGCCTGAATCGAGATGACGTTTTACCCCCGTCTCTAGACCATAAGCATTTTAACATTGCTTTTGTTCTTTAATTATGACTATTGTTCCTGTATTCTCTAAGGAATCAAAAATTTCAATATGAAAGAATTTTAAAAACTATTATGGTATAGAGTCGGGGTTAAAACGTCAACTCGCTTCAGGCTTATTGAACTGCAGCCGACAGAGCAGAAAAATGACAAGGCTGCTACTTTCGCACGAATTTTTTTCCTTTATCTCTCATCCATGCTAAAAAAACGTTTAGTGTTTCATTCGTGTCTCTTGTGCTTTAAACTTTTCACAAAATTCTGCTAACCTCGAGCAATTTTGTGCTGATCAAAATATCATCTCTCCCAACGTTCAGGGCGATATATCTCAAATACGCATTAATTAAATTTCCCCCAGTTTTGGTATTTTGTTAATCAGGCCAAAAAGAGCCTGTTTATGAAATATAAAGCTTATTAACGCATAAACGGCGAAAGCAGAACCCGTTTTTCTGCCCTGTCAATGCAGCCATACATGCAGTTATCGTAGAACTGAAATGAACTTGCTCGATCCACACTTTAAAGCTCGCTGTTAGCCTCTGGAGATTATTCATGTGGTCCAGTATAGGTCCAGGGAAGTTTGTATTGTTAAAGTTGTGTATAAATATAGTCTTTACTTCATCGTTCATAGTATTTGTGGAATATTTTTCACACTGAAATGAGGCAAACACTGTTTAAATGAGTCTGTAATCAAGGAATACAGCGGTAATGTACGAGAAAGGGCACTTCTCAGTATGCTTCGGATCGAGAACGAGTATCAGAGAAGGTTTTGAATATGTCAATATTGAATAATGGAATAATGCAAATGGAATAAAATACAAGCCAAAAAAAAAAACTTCTGTTTTGACTCAATCGACCTTTATCAGTATCCTTTGTTTTAACAGTATTGGATTTCGGCTTATCTTTGTTTTTTTACAAAACTGGATCACAGTCTATTCAAATATTTCTCATTCCAAAGTAATCATCAGATAGCAGAATCTTTGTTTTTACAGATGGAATCCCCCGAGATAAGCAAAATACATCCTTTGCTGTTGTGCATGCAATGTTTTTTGACACTGTACGACCTCAAAAAAAAAATAGCCCCCCCCTCCCCCCCTCGGAATTTAAGCCCTGCGTAAAAATCCTTCCAATAAATGAAGGTCCTCCCAAAACACTATCAGGCCATGGAGCTATTTTAAGATTAAATGTATAGTGTTTCCACGGCCTTTTACCATTTTAAGATTTTAGTTTTCGTCATCGTTACTGAATCGTATTTCACCCGGGCAAAGGCCTTCACGTCGCAGTTCTTGACCGTAGGTTATAACACTAAATATGGAATTTTGATGGCGTCCAAAAGGCCAACAGCATGATACATGATATATGATAAGGATCATCGAAAACAATATGATAAGGATCATCGAAAACAATATTTATATAAGCCATGGCCTTCAATATATTTATTCATAAGAGCTTACGGAGGATGGGGAATATAAAAGGAGGCGTAAAGGATAGCATTTTCTAAAAATAGATATCACGAAAATGCTTGGATTACATGGAAAAGAAGAAGAATATCAGTCGTGCATAGAAAACAACAAGAACCAAAACATTGATTCAGCACATAGAGGTTTTCCAGCATCACGTGTCCAAGCCCATAATACAGCTTGGACTACCTGTGGTTAGTTGGCACAACAATAAAATCCCTGTGCTCTCTGGATTTGAATTCTGTCTCATGTAAAACGATTGCATTGTTCCTACCATCTAACATGGCTGCCGTCACGTACATGATGGTGAAAAACCTCTATTAGCATGTGCGCTAGGCTTGGCTTGTCCGCACTTCAATCTCTTGATGCGCAATAGTAACGTCATCCGTAGAAATCGCTATTTGGGGTGAAAAAGAAAAAGAATTTTTTTCCTTTT